GAGACAATATTCTCGTCGTTAGTAATTGCATTCAATTTTATATAACACTAGTTTACGTTACGTTTCATATCTTCATAGAATTATCATTGTTTACATTCATATTCTATTTCAGAGACCAAAACTGATACACGTGCAACAACTGCGCCTACAAAATGTGATAAAAAGGAACCGGATTTTTTACACGGAACTAGTAAGTAAACTAATTGTTATAGTCTTCTGTCATTATTGCCATCTGCTGAAACTCTGTGTCTGTGTGAATGTTCTGCTTTCGGGTAGAAATGCAGAAAAATGGTTAATTATTCACACTGTCTGGGTTATACAATTTCATTCAATATCTTTTCAGACAATGTTTGTTCCTTGTTTTAATGCCGTTGTTTTGTTTTTTAATGATTGTCACACAAGATAAAATTATGTTGTTGTTGTTAATTTAAAGATGCTTTTAGACATTATCTGTTAGAACGATGATGATGTCTTTAACATTAAGCGGTTCATACAAAATTAAGATATATTGATAACATGTGAAAAGTCATATGTACCATTTTTTATATTCAAATGATATGTAATTACTTATAGATAAAAGAGCTGCACATGTTTGTGAAGGGTTACAATACAATTTGGATCTTTAGAACTCAACTCACAGACTTGTCTTTTATCATACTTTACCTTGCAAATCATTTGGAATACGTTGCTAAAAATATACTATCAAAGAATTCTAATTTCTAAGAGAACATAAAACATCTCCACTATACTAGCAAGCATTGCCTAAGGCCTTAAATTTGTATAACGTAAATTATAAGTAAAGACCAAACTAGTTTATTATCTGGAAGATACATGAAGGAACATTATATCATCGTTGATTTAACTTAAAATAGCGAATATAGTTATTGAGAACTCTCAGTGTCATACATTGAGATGAATTAATTTCATGATTTCTCTATAATTTACGTGTTATAAAGTAATTCATGTATACAAAAGTACTAAATACTAAAACATCAATAATAAAGTGTAACCTAATAGATCAAGAATGAGTAAATATTGAGACCATTTTTCGATAAATATATTGCAGACAGTGCATATTAAATTCATTAGAGTGTTTAAACTGACTTCCTCTAGACGCATAAACAATATCCAAGAAATTGGAGTGAATTTTCCCCACTTCAAGTTTGACTGAATGCTTAAAATAGGTCGTTTCCACTGTTTGTTTCCCAAGATACGTAAATTGTAGCGTTATTTTGTTGCTATCAGTCGATGAATTCGTAAGTCAGTAGACACCTAGCCCAGAAAAAAAATAATAGAAAATAAGCAGTCAAAAAAGCGATACAAAGTTTATGATCATATTCTAAAGCAAATTTATCATCTTCTGTTAAGAAAAAAAGAATCAACCCAATATGAATGAAGATTTCTACAGTAATTAATTTATACGATCCCTTTTAATATTGAAAAGGATTCAAATTTACAATAAATTCTTTAACCACAGCATATAAGCAACAAATGATCTATTACATAAAATTCACCTGCATATTTCAAAGAGAAGTTTCTAGCAATTAAGAAAGAACATGAAGATTTTATACATATTTATACGGACGATTCAAAAGAAGGTTGCAAAGTAGGTGCGGCTGTGTTTGAAAATAATTTTACATCTAGTATGAGGTTACCAGATAATGCATCAATTTTTACTGCTGAAGCAAAAGCTATCGATTTAGCATTGTCATACATAGCACAGCATACCCACGATAAATGTGTGATATTTTCTGACTCGCTTTCTGTTTTAATATCCATTAAAAATAAAAAATCTGACAATATCATGGTAAAGAAACTTCTTTTGCGATTTCATGATATACTAAAAACAAAATATGTTAAATTATATTGGATTCCAAGCCATGTAGGAATACGAGGAAATGAAAAAGTAGATGCTTTAGCTAAACAATCATTAATTTTCAAAAAACTGACTTATTGTTACCTGCTTGTGATTTTAGACCGGCTATAAATAAACTCGTATCATCTGAATGGAAAGCAAATTGGGACAATGCCGTTTTTAATAAACTTCTCGATATAAACCCATCTCTTGATATGTCACCATCTCTATCTCTGTCAAACCGCCGTGATCAAACAGTTCTTCTTCGATGCCGAATTGGACACACTAAAATTACCCACTCTTATCTCCTCACAAATGACAATGCCCCTTTCTGTGTAGGTTGTAATGAAAATTCTACTGTCAAGCATTTTCTTCTTGAATGTCATGATTTTTCACAGGCCCGTAATAGATTTTATTCGGTAAATTCACTCAAAGAACTTTTTAATACAATTCCATCAAAAAACATAATTGATTATTTAAAAGAGATAAACTTGTATTCTAGGATCTAATTGGCTCATTTCTATTGTCATTAACAATGTTTTACATAATATTTTAAGCCTATTATAGCATTCGGCACGATATGGCCAGTTATTTGTTGACGTGCCGTAAAAATCCAAACAAACAAACATAAAGTGAGCATAGATAAGTCAATACACGTTCTTTTAGCAAACTATAATCTTTTATTTTTGAAATGCCAATGAAGTTGTTCCTCTTTCTTTGAAAATATCATTATAGATAAAACAAAAAGTACACATTTAAACCTTGTTTCTAGGCAATGAACAATTAAATGCAACCAAATTCAGTTGCGAACGACAACATTTCAAAAGTTATGTCGCTCTTAATTTGAGAACGCAATAATATCATGCAAAAAGGGGATTTTACTGACATACAATGTATGGGGCAATAATGTGTCGCTTCTGCTTTATCAGGATTTATGTTTTAGTCTCCTTAATTGAGGTTTGGTCCATCCGGTTCTGCTCACAAGTCATTTTTGTCTTAAGCACCTATAATTACCTATGGTAATTTTATTTTTTTTTGGCTAATGATATTATGCACACAAAATTCATAACACAAGGAATAACTATTTATTGAACATCAACATTAAAATATCCTATTAGCTATCAACTAAGTGGATTTTTTTTTATATATTCATTATAGAGCAGAGCATGATCATTACTGAGCGAACAGCCAGTTACTGTCTGGTCTTTTTGTCATTTGATCATACTGGGAAAGTATGTTAAGATTAAATTTCACGCAAATGATATCTTGAATTAATACTTTTTGGAAGGTCTAGATTAGGTAAAGAAACAATGTAATTTTAGTAATTAATCCACTACCTATTTAACCAGAGGGGATTTTAGGTTTATCCCCGTCCATCTGTCCGTTCGTCCGTCAGTCCGTTCGTCCACAAAACTGGATCCTGCGATAACGCAAACATTGCTGAATTTTTATGGATCTTGGTATATTGATAAATTATGCATTTTTTTCTTTTATTCCTTTTTTGAAAACTTTGGTTGCTAGGGCAACACATTGACTGAAAATAAGGCTAATTTAACACATAAGCTGGATCCAGTGATATCAAAAAACGTACTTAAAAGAGAAAAAAAAATCATGAAACTTAAAATATGGATAGATGGAGATTATACTAATCATTTTAATCTTTAACCTTTCTATCTCATTGACGTGTTTTAAGTACAAACCAATATTAATATGGGTACCTAGTCATATTCGAATTTACGTCAACGAAAATGCGCTAAATATGCAAGCCACAATGGCATTCCCTGCAAGTGATATGCATTTCTGCTGAGTGATATGAAATCATGCAATTAAACGCGACGTCCATGGACACAGAAAGATACTTTATGATCCTCCGCGAAAGATAGCTGATCAAATAAGTACCGCAGTATTAACATTCATAAAAGAAATACTTGTTCGAAATGCCACGGATGAACATAAATGAAGTTATGTATTATGATGACGTGTCCACTAGGCTACAGAACAGACAATACACAAGTTACAGATCAAAAATGATTTAGTACAAAACTATAAAAATACGGCAATAAGCTTTATCTATTAAACATCTTAACAATGCTATAAATTCCTATCTGAACACATTAAATAATTGCCTTATGTAGTGGGCTACACAAATATAGTCTGTCACGCGGCGGAATATCACGGATACCTCCGAAAAAATTATACCGAGGCGTATGATCTTTATAATATGGTGTTTAAAATGCAATTGTAATTCTTTTATGTTTGTGTGTAGGAAATGTGCAGTATTTTTGGATTTTTACCCGTAACGTAACATTTTGGTAGCTTTGTATGTTTTTGTTAATATCAGAATGGAGGTGAAAAAGTTAAAAATATAGCGTTGACACTTGGAGCCAAGCAAGCTAGAAACTTTGGGAAATTCTTAACGTATGCTGACAGTTTCTTTGATATTTTTAAAAGTGCCATTGATTGCGATATTTTTTTAAGGAATCGGGCGTATTCTGGAGTATCTTGTTGATTATATAAAATTTATGTAGAAAAATTAAGTGAGTGTATAATAATCTCAGTTTACACACAGAAAAATTGCTTGTACTGCCAATGTTATCTCTAAGCCTGTTCGGACGAGTAGAATTTTTCAAAATTTACTTTGTAAACAATCATATAGACAGGTAAAGAAATGCTCCAAATAAAAGCAAACAAGCAAGTTAAACCAGATTTTGCCGGCCCTATATTCTCTACTAAGACACATTTGACTATACTGAATATTAGTCAATAAAACTGTAGACGAATTTTGATTTAGTTAAAGGGCTTGGTTCACTAACCATCAAATTTGGCCCAACCTCGAAAAGTGTTGAAACTTACAGTAATTCAGATTTGAACAATCTTATTTTAAAATCAGCTATTTATATTTCATTATTATCATATATGACGCTGTTTCTAAGCCTGAGAAACATGTACGTATTATGTACATTGTTAGCGCGACGTCATCGACGCGGGAAAATAATCCGCAAATTTTGACGTTTCATAGCGCCGTTTGAATTCTTTATTTTTGATAAATGAGAAATAAAATATAGATTCTTAATAAACATAAATACCTATTTATATTACTTTTTTAATTTCAATATTACACATATTATGTAAATGAAGCTCGTTTCATTTCGGACCTATTATCTGACGATAATTAAAGCAATAACAAAAGTAGTGAATTTTTTTTCAAAAAAATCATGTATTTTCAATTCACTTTTCTTTTTGAGTTTGTACATGTTTATTTCATTTTTTTTTCAAAAACAGTCTCCGCCATTTTTATTACATGTATTTATTTACCTTCTTTATACAGCTATATAATTAGAAGACATTTTTTCGTTTGAGTGAAATTAGAAAATATTTTCAGGAAATATGATAAGATTCTATATATTTTCACGGCCGGACTGGCGATGGAGAATATTTTGAATTTGATCATGTTGATTGAAAATATGTTCCATTTATCACTCAGACGAAAAAATAATCTTTTTTATTTAATTCTATAACCAAAAAAAAAAGTTGTTCACGCACATCCGCACTGATTGTACAGCTCGCAGTAATATTTTGATTATTCATCAGCGAGTGACGCGGTTCAATACTCATTTTGATACCTTCATCTTACACTGTGTAAGAGAAATTGAATAATTATTTTAATTTGTCATAATTATATGAGTAACTGAAGCTATTGACTGTCTGGCAAAAAAAGTTCTTTACAAAGTCAATAAATGTACCTACAGGAATAATAATTACAACATTTTATATTGTATTATAATTACCAAATATTCTTATTGATTAAGTTACTGATTGTCGATTACCTTAACAGTTTAAAAAGCCGAAAAATGATAAAAGATAAAGAATCATTTATAATTTTACAATTGTAAAAGTCCGTTGTCTCTTGTATTCATTATTTGCAAATGTTTAATCACTGTCAGAACTGGAGTCGATTTGGAATGTAGCGGCATCTTCTAGATGACTACCCCAGTCCCTTACACCGTACCGCGTGCATTCTTGATGCCTAGCAAAAGCAAGATACCAGACGATGGCCGAAACATGCGCGCACATTCCAACAACTCGTGCCCCAGCACGGCACTGGCAGTACCAAGCCTCTACTGCCGTATCACTGGACCGTATCCACATGAGATATCGTCTGCTGCTTGTGTGACGACTCTGCAACCGTACTGTCAGTAGTGACGTGTCATCTACATGGACATGTATGTCATATGCCCCAGTGAGATGCTCCTGGATGTAACTGGACGCAAGCTTCAACTGATATACACCAAGCGTAAGGTCGTGTAGATTTTCCTCTGACAGTCGCGGAAACGGTACATCCTCAACCGACTTCCATACTTTTAACTTCCGTTCGAGACCACGCTCTTGTACATACTCTTGTAAAGTATTGGCTCGTTCAGCCAACAACAACATTTGTTGGGCAACTTGCGTATCTGCCTCTGTCTGAGACGGTGAACTCAGTGCAGGAAGGTATTTATTACATATAGCACATACAATCCTAACAAAGTCTCCAATGAAGGGCACCTGGCTGCATGGAAGTACTGTTGCAAGCATTTTGAACCGTTTGATTCGAGCGTTGGCCGATTCAACAACCCATCGTACCTAAAAATTAGAAATGGTATAATTACAAATAAACACCAACGTTACACTATATTCATTTATGTTTTAAGGTAAACAACCTTTATACATAAACTCAATTTGAATAGTATCTAAATAGGCTAGAAATACTGTCATTTTTTGAAACTATGGGTCGTTAGTTCAAGCACTAGGTCAATACTTTTCTTCTATGAACATAACTTATATATTTCGTCCAACTCTTTAAGAAAGACACTGTTTAATTTTGATGACATGATTATTTGTATTATTTATTTTTTAATAATGATAATTTGACAACATGAATCGTCCAAAAACGTAAATACGTACTAAGCAATATACAGCTGAGAAACTTTATTTTGAAAAAAAGCTGATGTACGCATAAATCATGAGTAACACCTTTTTGTATCCTATTAGATATGATAATAACCATTTTCACCCTGGCTTTTTTAAGAAAACAAAGTGTTTTGAATATTATTTATAAGTTATTGTATTATTTACATTTTAGCTTTATCAAAGCAGACTAATTTTAAAAAAAACGTAGCATATAGTTACTGCATCAAATGTTTTTCATTTGCCTAAACAAATATTTATATTCTACGAAACCCGATTAAATATATTAAAGGCCCATCAATTCATGCTATCAATTTATTCCTAAAAAAAGTACCATGTTACATTTTCCATAAAATACTCATTTGCTTTATACACAAACAATGATTTTTGCTACTCCAACACAGTTGTCAATTGGTTTAATTACATAGTGGATAAGTTTTTGTACGGAAGTCAAAATACTACTTTGTATATATTATGCTACTTTACGATATATTACAACACATTCAGCGCTATTTTCTTAAGTTGTAAATTATCTAATTGAAACATACTCTAAATTCATTATTAAAGCATTATTATAACTTGTCTGACATTTATAAAGAATGACAAAAATATGTATTTATGATGCACGATGTGCCTTTAAACATACTTTTGTAACTAGCCGACTGGAGTTAGCTTCCTTCGTCGATAGCTGCTTTTGTCCTTTGCTGATCAAGGCAGGCATTTCAGCATTGATTCCAAGGTCAGTGAGGAGAGTCAGCGAATCCCGGAAGCCACGATCAACTACCAGAATATCTCCTTCCTGTAAAAACTCCCGGAAGTTTTGAATATTGGCCCGTAGCATATGGTTCAGTATAGCCGCATCGTTGTTTTTGCCATCTGCAAGGTAAGGGCCAACTATAGTTACAAAGTGACCCGTTGTTGTAACAACAACCATAGGTTTAACCAATGGCCGGCCTTTGTGCATGCTAAATGAACGCCTCTGGAACTTGAAGTTATTTGACTTATTGATATAAATATATGTTCCGTCAAGAACAAGGATCAGTTGGTTGTCATCAGCGTTGAAAAGTGTCTTTGCAAGTTGGCGTGTGTGGTTCTGAATGAGGGTTGACCTTGGGACAGTTTCAATGCCAAGATATAGCGGAACAAATGTTCTCATTGATATTAGACGAACGGTCTCAATTGCGCGGCGAACGCTTGACTTGCTTAAGCCAAATATTGTAGACAGGAGTTTATTGGACATTCCAGAGTAAAGCTTAACAAGAAAAAGTCCAACGGTTGTTCTTGGAGACCTTTTAGGCGTTGTTTTAATGTGTTGAAGCAAATGACTGCAAAAATCATCAAACTGTGGTTTGGTAAGCCCAGTAAGAGATGGATAATCACGTTCGTCTAATGCATCAAAATTAAGTGATGTATTCTGATTTAGGCAAGCGTTTCTCATTTTTTGAAGTATATTACATATTGAAGATCGATTAAGCAAAGAGGTACTTGTCAGCGTTTGTATGTTTGAAAAAGAGTCTTGAGTCAGAGTCCCATCAGAAATATGGACTGGACAACACCTTGCGTCTGCTGGTACTAGTATGTTGTGGTCAAGGAAGACTGTAAAGCGCCCTTCTGCTGGAAGGCACACCAACTTTGGTCAAGGCCTTTTGCACACGAAACAGCGGCTGTGGCTTCTGCTTGTGGAAGAGATTTTCAGCATTACCTGTAATGTAAGAAATGGTCATAATAATAATGTCCTAAGAAGTTTTAATTATAAGTAAGTGTTGAGCATTTTAAAACTTAATTTTACCAAGAGCCGCTCGACTGATTTGTGAATACGTAGTAATGAACACGTTTGGCCGCGTGACCAATTTAATTGTGTACTAATAAACTTTTAACAAACTTGGTGTTTTTAAAATTAATTATATTCATTTCAATTCAAATTAAAATATTTTTATAAACAGTCGATTTACTACATTGATTCACAGTTTGCTGATTACCAAAGTAAATGTGTTACGATTCATTTAAAATACTGAACAGAACAGAACATATATTTTATTTTGAATTAAGCATATACATCTCATTTTCATATTTAACAATTAAAATACTGCAATCCCATTTGACAAAAAATATTTCAAACTCAAACACACAGTAAATATGATGATTAAAGCTACCTATGTTATATATTGTGAAACGTGTGCCTAACAGTCCATGTTAAATATCTATTTAGGTTACAGATAATACAACATTAAAACAACGCATTTATACCATGTAATGTTACTTATTGATTATTATTAATTTCTTAAATATATTATGGTTGTAATCGCGTGCACTTACCGATGGAGGACTAGTGAATCGTTCGTTTGTAGACGGCGGAACGAGTGCATCGCCAGCATCACCCCTCTCATCAACCGGTACGGGACCTGATTCTTTTGGTTTTCTAAGTTTTCTATAAAATTTGATTCTGCATCCAGAACACACAACACTATCGGGTGTGCAAGTAATTGACAGATTTTTCTTTAAATATTTCTGAATATTTGCCGGTACAGGTCTTCTGTCTCGACGATTTGCTTTTCTATTGCAAATTGTGCAGATGTAATGCTTGACCATATCTGTAAGAAAAAAAAAAACTAATAAAAAAAAAATTCATCAGAAGTGGGATTCGAACTCGGGCCGCTTACGTCAAAAGCAGGTGTCTCATCCACTGCGCTACAGCGGAATTTATAAAGTGGGCGCCAAGTAATCAAGTATTTGATATCGATCGTACGCATGAGCTAAAAATAGAATTACCTGCAGACGGCTCTGTTTATTGTTTAAATATTCATTTATAGCACATATTTCAAATACCGTTTTCATATTTTTCATAACTTAATTACATTGTAAATTCGTTTTCAATAAAATTTGTTCACATACATATCCATTTAAGATTGAAGCCATTCAAGTTTGGATCTCTACACTTGATTGCACCGCTGCTGCTAGTCGATCGTTTATTTATTTAATTTAGAAGAATATGACTATTCTCAAATAAAGTATACAGTATTTAAAATATATATAGATCTATGTTTAATAATGTGAAATATTTATTTTGGGGTAAGAATATAATAAACATTTAAATCTACCTTGTTTGTAGTGGTGTCGTTGTTTACAAACATTTATCGTTGGCAACAGCGGTATTCGTACTCAAACCGTTTCGAAAATATCGTTTCGTCCTTGTTGTTGGAAAATTATATTTAACAGATAAAACATTAAGTCTAATAGTTTCTCAACAACAGACATTGCTGAAATGATTATCTATTATAAATATTTGTAATTTATTTATTGATACAACATGTTATGACATAATTGTGTTATTTGAAATTGAGTTTTTAAACATGATTTTTTCAATTATGATTGTGCCTCAAGTTCAAATTTAGATATGAGCCACCACGCGTGCCACTTGCAAACATACATTTTCATGTTTGTTTTTATTTATTGAACACCGATGCCAAGTGATAATTTGGCACATGTGGTGGCTCTTACCTTTTTTTAGGATAAAACATGCAAAAAATCACAAAAAAGCCAGTTTAGTTAAAACCAGGGTGTGTGAAAGTGATAATTTTGTTGGAAAAAATCATCACAAAATATTAATGGTCTACATATTTGTACAGGTTTAGGATAGGTCTACATAAAAACAAACGCATTTGATTTGGTTAAGCTATTTTATTTTTTCAAAATTTTAGGGCATTTTTATGGGGTTAGTGAACCAAGCCCTTTAGGAAAGTGTATATTTACAATTTCTCAATCTTAATATTTTCTCTACGAAGACTATTACTAGCATTCAAATAAATTTTTAACAGTAAGTTCTATGATATATCAATGACTGCATTTGTTTTGAACTGTAATATCTACAAATTTGGCAAAAAAGTAAATTTAATGACGATATGATTTGTTGCATATAAGAGAAATAAATCTTAGCAATTTAAAAGCCCTTCTGAAGAAACAAGTGAGTCACATCATTAGTCGTACACATCGAAGAGCTGATTAAGTGATGTTCTACCTCGAAATGAGAGATCCAACTGGTTTGGCACATTCATTTGTCCTAACACTACACGTGTCATTAGACATTTTGTACAATAAGTCCTTACAATTTGAGCAATTAGACATTGACTCGACACACCGGCAGTACCTGAAAACATTCAATTTCCATATTTTCATAATTAAGGAAATATATTTTTGTGAAAACGTGCATTACATGGTATCCAATACTGTTAATGTATATTTAGGTATAACTAAATTATCATGTACATGTATGAAGGAAAACGTTTCATTAGTAATATGTTTAGATATAACAAGACATTTGAACTGGTGTATTCAAAACTTTATTTAGAATTTCAACAAGCTTCTAGCTATTCAGCAACTGTCAAGTTTTGTCTGCAAAACTTGGTCATTGCCTTTAGCAAAAGGTTCCCGAATTTGTTATTAGTTGAGTATTGAATATACAACGACCAAAGGCAAAATTCACAGCAGTATCAATCTGTTTATCACCAATCATTTTGTCAATAATATTCCACAGGGTGTTCTTTATTCGATGAGCGACCATAATGAAGTTTAAACAAAATCCCTCCATGCTTCGAACAAAATTGAACGCCGCCTTCCCACCGCCAGGAGCATTTTTAATACACGACCCATCTTTAAAAAAAATAACACGTACTACTTCCATTTAAAAAGTCATAAACTACTCTGACAACCAGAAAAAATATTCAGAAGTTCATCCATAAAAATGCCGACGATCTGCAGCGCATTGTGTAATCGAATTTACCTGTGAGCTTATAATATACTTAACTTTTGATAAAGTGTTTGTATGAAAATAAGAAACGTCAGTCTAGGACAAATTCCTTTGTTTATTAACTGTGACAAATATCTAACATTCTTAAACAAATTATTATGGTGAAGAAACACCTCTTTGTTGAAAGATAATTTAATCTTAAAGTGGCACTATTATTCCAACTTTTCACATGTCTTGAATTGATGTATCAATTATTTTACCGATGAAAATATGTACCATTTATTTATAAATGCTTTTAACTAGATCACTGATTTTCCGTGAAAATTTAATTTTCTAATTTCAGTAAGAAAATTATCATAGTACTGTGTCACACTTTTCAAACAAGACACTAACAGGAAGTGGATGAGCGACAGATCTGAAATCGAATCCCACCGTATGGGATTACATGTAAATGCTATGTACTAAAGATCAATAGGCTGTGATAAGTAGTTGCTTAGAAAACTGTTATGAAAACATTTCACCCGCTCATCCGCTGACATTTATCATACTTTAAACCGGTATTGCACCTAGGTTACCCGGTAAAGTTTATATTTTTTGCGTAATATATTAAAAGGAAATATTACGGTAACATATTAATCGTACAGAAAATTTCATGACCTTCTTTAGTTTCCAATTACACTGTCTACATTTATTGCTGTTGGCCATAGGCCTTCTCTAGTCGCCCACCCCTGCTTTAATAAACGTCTAAATCCCTATTATGACTTTTACGTAATTTTTCTTTGGTCTTGAACAAAATCACTTCAACCCGTGACCAGAATAAGATCTGCATAATTTGTTTCAATTCTAATAACAGTCCCTAAAATTTACATCAAGCAATAAGTAAATAATGATGATATTGATAAACAATAACCTTAAAATTCAAACACAGTTGACCTTTAAAGGGTGTTTAACCGGCTTTCAAAAAACATTGTCAATCTCATTTGAAGTCCATGCAAATTCATCAGCTAAAATGTTTTAGATGCATATAATTTTTATTGATCATAACTTGAAAAAACAAACTGCCACTATTTTTGTATCGTCCCTTACAAAGTAGCAAAGACATAAAGTGGTACTTCATCGTCGTTTCTCTGTCAGTCTTTCCATCCGTCAGCTCATTCGTTATAAAAGTTTTTCTTGATTGCACCTCAAAGCCTGCAGGTGATTTCATTCAAACTTGACACTAAAGAAAAGTGCAAATACCACATCTAGTTGTGCATATCGTCGGCATTTTCTAGTTCAATGGATTTTGGACTTCTTATCTTACACCAATAATGTCATTTGAATAATCTTTACTGGATTTTTTCGGTAGCTCAAGTACTTACGCATAATAAACAGAGTTTTGGACTTGAGTAAAAAGTCGTTGCAATTACATCCATACTTTACAGGAATGACCAGAAGCACATTTTATTGTTCAGTGATTTTGTAAGAGTAATGGCAACTGTATGGTGTTTGTGTCCTGAGGTCCGTCTGTTCTTCGACTCTAACATTACTTATGCAGTTTCAGTGAAGCTTAAAAGGATTGATCAATACCTCAAGTACTTGCGAATAATTTTTGGATTTTTTTTTGGTTATGGGTTTGGTCTATTTGTGGTTTTTTGTGTCTTGTGTGGTTTTTGTTTCTCAACAGTTGTAAATTTGTCAATCAGCCCTCAATACAGCTGTTTAGTAAGCTATCATTAAGCGACATATTTGATCAATGATCGCTATTGTTTGTCAATAAAAAGATTATGCCTCTTTTTTAAAACTACAAGAAGAAAACTTATTTTGTCGGATTATTATTATGTCAATCATTCACATGTTATTAAACGATTCGTGAGTGCATTCTTTTTCTTATTGTTATAAAAAAACTTGTTTAATCCTTTCGTTAAGAGTAATTTTTATCACGTCTGCTTTGATTAACTTAAAAACAAGCATTGTTTGGATTAAAGATGTATTGCATTGGATTTCACACGCTCTGACGAGTCGCAAATTACTCTAGTATTATACAGTTTTGTTTTTACTTACTTTGGCGTTTGAACCTTTAGACTTAAAGCTGAATTCCATTCACAGATAGTGTTTAATATTTAATAAAGGCGAGCAAACCTAGGAAAATAAATCCATTGAATATAATCAATATCTTAATCACATAATTAGGTTATGTCGCTAAATGATGTAAATTGTAAGTTTTTTTCCTTCTCTGTACGTTACATATCACATACTAAACAAAGCGTGTCAACCATTAAAAATTCGAGTAAATTATTTTCATTATGATAATCATAAAATGTTCAATAACCGTTTGATGTCTTACATGTTTAGATTTAATATTGTGTTAAGGCTATTTCTGACATTTCTCTCAGTTATGTAATGTATGTCGGACTTTAATAGCACCGTATTCATGTTTGTATCTGTGTCTGTAAAAAATCAAACATCCTCTTCATATTTTTTACATCACATCGGTTTTAAATTTATTGTCATTTATCAAAACATATTATAAACGCATTATTAGAAAGTTTATATTCAAATGTAATGGCAAACTATTCCTTAGAAGCAAATATTTTTGATTCTTTAGAAAGGGTAAACATGAATTATATAATGTTTAAAAATGGTTTGTAAGAATTTTAGATGATTGTAACCTTAAAGAAGTAGCAATAAACGTGACATTATTTGTAATAAAAAAGTAGTGATTGTAAACAGTAGTATTTTGTCTTCCATACAACATACTTATCACTATAACTGTTTAACTTATTGCCAAAAAGCAATAGATGAAAAGATAGTTCATGTATCTGACCAATAAGTATTTTGTGAATACTATTAAATTACACCGAAATAAAAAAGCTTCTGGAAAATAAACATAAAGGCATCTATAATGCATAGTGGGCCTATAGAAGTAGTATTTTTATAAAAAAAAAATCGGAAATATTATGTGATACTCCCTGGCGTCTGTCAGCCCGTCTGTCCGCTCCCACGGGATAGTAATAATGTGGCTAGAGGGACAATAGGTAACTGTTCTGTCGTTTTGATATCATTCATTCCTGAATGTTTTTATGTAGCTATTTTCTTTTGTGTCGCTAAAACGAACAATTATAGAGAGACCAATAGAGTAGTCACATTATTACTGTCCCGTTAGAACGTCCGTCCGTAAGCAAATTGGTTTCTGGAGCAAAACTCAAGTTCCATTTTGCCCACAATATTCGAACTATATAGAATGATTGTCCATATCGGTTAGAAGACTCTTATAGATTTTTGGATCACACGGTCAAAGGTCAGGGTCTCTATTACCTTAAAACTGAAAACAGTTTCAGGAATATACGTAACATTTGGCCCACAATATTCAACTTCATACGATGATTGTCCATATTAGGTAGTACATCCAAAATGATTTTGGGTTTACACGATCAAAGATCATGGTAACTATTACCTTAAAACTGAAAACGGTTTCTGGAACATAACTTCATAGGATGAGTTTTCATATAAGGTAGTACACCCCTAATGATTTTGGGTTTACAATGTCAAAGGTCATGATCACTATTACCTTAAAACTGAAAACAGTTTCTGGAGCATAACTTAAGTTCCATTTGACCCACAATATTCAAACTTCAATGGATGATTGGCCACACTGGGTGGAACACTCTTATTGATTTTGGGTCACAGGGTCAAAGGTTAATGTCACTTTTACCCTATAACCGTAAACAGTTTCTGTAGCATAACTTAACTTGCATTTAGTCCACAGTATGCAAACTTCATAGGATAATTGTCCATATTGGGTGAAACACCCCTATTGATTTTGGATCACAAGGGGAAAGGTCAAGGTCAATATCACCTTAAAACTGAAAACAGTTTTCGGAGCATAACATAAATTCCATTTTGCCCACAATATTCAAACATCATGAGATAATTATTTATATTGAGCAGAACACCCTATTGATTTTGGGGTTACAATGTTAAAGGTAAATGTAGTTATTCAGCCGAAACCCATTTTCATATTTGAGTAACAGTTACCTTGACCTTAAGAGCACGATCACTATCTTAAGCGCGCTATTCACGTGATATTAATTTGAACACTTTTTTTGCGATATCTGATTCCTAACCCAAAGCTTCATGAACAACTTTATCAAAAGCCGTTTTATAGTCAAATCACTTGTATTATGTTTTTCTCTAAAGCATAAGAGTGTCAATCATTCAGGAGTGAAAATCGTCTGGGTATATACAAAAAATACTTTTTCTAATTGATAATCGTACTAATTATTGTGCAAGAGAGTGATTAGAATTTATAAAATAAATCAGTAACATCTTTTGTTAATCGCAACATTTGACTATTGAGACTTCTAGTTAATATAATCAAAACGTTTTCAGTTTCCACAAGGATTACATTCAATTTATATTCATTATTTTCTGCCTATACAACTATATCATTCATTATATCATACTGATATGTCACATTTTTATCTAATTTTAATCTGACAGTGATCTATACATTGAATTAACTCATTGACTTTTGTATTAAAAAAGAAGGGAAATTTACTAATCTTGTTAAATAATATACAACGCTAGCAACCCTACGGCCACAATAAGCAATGCAAATACCAATGATTTGTGCAGGTATGTTAAATAGTTTTGAGTCCTCATGCATATAAACCTAGCGGTATAAGTCTAAATTGTGTACAAAATACAGTCGTTGACATATCGTAAAATTTAAAACACCTGTAGCGTGTTTGTCGCTCAAATTATTTAATATTCATAGATAATTATTCTTAAAGCAACTTAATCCAAATGATACCTTATTTACGGCTAAATAGTACAATTTTCTTGAAACATATTGATTCGCAATAGATTACATTCTGCTACGACGTTTATCTTTCATTTTACGATATTAACATTTGAAAGATTTTAGAAAATAGCAAAAAGTTTTAAGACTTAAATATGATTTAGACAACCACTGTCATCTAGTTTATTAAAAATAAGTTGTATATTCTATAGAAGGAATTTCAACTACTCATTCCGAGCATCCACCGTAGCTCCTCAAAAAAGGCCATGTTAATGAAACTTTTATCGAATCGTAATACAACCTCCTAGTGTCCTTCTCTCTTGCTTTAATAGAAACTGCATATGTTGTTTTCTGCTATTTGGAACTCCTTTAGGGTATATATAAGTGCATTTGATATCTATAATTTTTATCATAAATTCTCCTCGATTTCCGACTTAACCGAGAAGTGATTGAATTTGATTATAATTTTGTGATGTAAATTTTTCTATTCGGTGTGCCAATTTTATTTCTGCATATATCGTCCTTAGGTCTTTCACACAAAAAAGTATGGATGGTGTCACAAAAGTTTTCAGCTTACGGGCCTCAGCGTTAATGAATTCATCAAAATTATATAACAAAAGAATATCGCGCGTAGATCTAATCTGAAAATCTGTGACTTTCTTGATTGATTTCATGATTAATATGGTGTTGTTTGTTTAATGTTGGATCCAACGGCCGCCTTTTACTATTGATCTAAATCTAGTTTCTTTGATACAATTTCATCATATGTCTGAGCGTCAAAATTTTCTACTGGCTTTTCTATCAATTTACTTTTGTGTGTCTTGGGTTTACATTCAAGACACGAAAGATGTTGATCAATCAATTCTTTTTTTCTGTGGTAGCACCTGTGAAGCATAATAAGGTGGAATTATAACCTCGGAATGTTGAGGGAAAAACTTACATGAATTTTCAAGTAGTTGTGATACTTTTGATACAAAACTTGCTGAAGGTAATGCTGGGCTCTTTTCTGGCATAGTTGAGCGTTTATCTGGTTGTTCGTCTGAAACGCTTGGATTCGCTTTTGATTGAGCCACCTTTTATTTTCCCATCAAAGATACTCCTGCAAATCCAGCTGAAACTGCATCACTTAAAATGGTTTTTTATCATCTTCAATAGTTTATTTTATAAATATAAGACACCACACGAATACAACAATATAGTTTTGAGTTTTCTAGACACATTATTTTAACAGGAATTTTTAACGAAACATAGGTTAAGAGATATTTTAAAAGTTGTTGATTGGATTGTTATTCAAGTAAAAATAAGTATGAATGATGCTTGTCAAATTTAGCACCTATAGTTATTCCATTTTTTGTGCCTGCAGTATAAATGAGGGATGGGGATGGGGGCGGTAGATTCACTTTTGTCCGTCCGGGCAAACATTTAATAGTATTTGAGCTTTATATCGTCCAAAATCTTTGTAAAAAAGAAGGAAATTCCATAAACTGATTTGTCTATGTAGTAATTTTGCTGGTTTATGTAAAAATTCCACAGATAAATCAAAGATCTAGAGTTATGAAACTATATAGGAATGTTGGTCAGCATCTGTTGTTGTGCACCAGGCGTTTCGGTTGTGGACTTATTCAGTATTTGTAGAGTTATTATAGCCCAGGAGGAAGAACAAATTTGCAAGTGTCATCTTGTGTATATCTTAAAACGTATTTGACCTAGTGTCATGACACTTTACTGGAATGATAGTTGGTACATATAGTTGTGCACCTGGGTTTAGTTGTTGATATATTCAGTATTTGAAGAGCTCTTTCCCTTGGCTTAGTAAAAACCATTACAAAACGGTGTGTTATGTGTACCTTGAGTGCTTAAGTTAGAATCAACCAACTTTACAGGCAAGATGATCAGCATCACTGTGACACGAAACTGTGCACCTTTGGATGCATGTGGATTCTTTTTAGTTTTGGTATTGCCTCTTGACTTCGTATGAATTATAGACTTGTTCATGCATGCATAGCTAAAAAAGTATTGGACCTGTAGTCCTGAAAGTATACAAGAATGTTTGTCAGCATATGTAGTAATGCACCTTTTTTTTTTTTTTTTTTTTTTTTTTTTTTTTTTTTGTTAATTTATTCAGTATTTGTAGAGTGTTTGTCATTGCCTTAGTATATGATAATTGGTTTTGAACTTTTGTTACCTGCAGTTTAAAACAATTGACCTAGAGTCAGTTGATTGAAAAAAAAACAGTGGGTGGAATATGGAGGCATACGTGTCCGTCCTCTATACACATTTGTAGTTAATTATTGAAAGGTATTAAAAAGTAATTATAGCTTATAGCTTATGCAAATTTTGTTGTTTACATAAATCTTGCCATAAATCAGTTTTTCAAGAAGGGAATCATAAATATTTATGTAACGTCAAGCATGTATTATGTTTCTTGAGTGGTATTATTTGTTTTGTCTTCAAAATTTATTTACTTTCTTTACGTTTGGTACTGTGTTTAAGGGCTCAAAAATAAACGATTAATCATCGATTCGGTAATATTTTGCAGATTCAACTAAAAGTGAAGGTGATTTATTTTATCAACTACTGCAAAGGCTGGAATTGACAGAAAAATTCCCTGGCAAAATTTCTTTGCGGGATGTAATAGCAATTGATACAAACGAATCAAATGGGCTGCAAAATGACAAAGTAACCTTACCTCGTATTCCTTGGTTAGTTCTGAAGCGCTTGATGTGTGTTCATAGCGAATCTAGAGATATAAGAGTATCAGAGAGCGACGAAAATGATTTTGCTGTTAAACATAATATATCTTGCTGTCCGGAAATACCACAGGAAAATCAGGACATCAGCCCATTAGATATATTCACTGTTGTTTTTCAATGCTGTGATCCAGTGTTGAAGCAGGTGATTGTTCAAAGATTGTATCTTTGTAAACTTGCCGTACCTTTCTTATATCGGCATTGGGAAGCAACTGAAACACAGTATCAAGCACTCTCTGTTTGGCCGTTGAGGTCATTAATTATAGACAATGTGCAAAGGAATGTAAATGAATATGATATACTAGGTAGCGAAAGTGACGCCCTTGAACTGCTGTCAAAAGTATTAGCATTTGGAAGGTTAGGTCGCCCTCGCTATTCAAAATCAAAACTGATGAATAGTCTTCTTTTAAGTGATGGTTGTAAAACGTTTTTTAATGTTGACTGTCCCTCTGGAATGACACCAAGACAGGTTAGTAATGGGCAGGTGGAAATGTTTTGGTTACCTACCATCGGTGACAAAAAAGACAAATTTCAGGATACCATAACATTTTTAAACTTGAGGGGTGATCTAGGTCAACACTTTCATAAAGACATTATATCTTTCATTGGAAAGTTTGTAGATTCGATAGTAATCGTTGTTGACTTAGAATATTTTTTCAATCAAAGTAAAGTAGTCAGAAACGTTCTTCGACAGTTTTCCTCTGTTATTCTAATAATTGCAGACCCTTTAGATAAGAGTGCTTTTAATTCAGTTACTAAATTTGAAAAGGACATGACTCAAAACTCAGACTTTAAGTTAAACAGCCTCCGGAATAAGTTTGCAAATCCGGAATTTTCGCAAACTCAACTACCCTTTTTAACCTAGTTTCAATACAAAAACTTAAATCAAACAGTTATTTGGATGAAAGTAGACGATTATTGACCGATTACACAAAGATAGCGCAATAATTAAACGCTGTGTGAGCGTTCAAAGTATGACCTCCCATGGGGTTTTTCAATTCTCCCACGGGTTTTTACGTATCCCACTGGGAATTTAGTGGGGTTGAAACCCCATTTCTTAAAGTGGGAGAATAAAACCGTGGGAAAAAAAATATTTTTTTTTTCTAAATATTTTTACAAGTGTTGAATATATAATACTTATAATAAACTTATAAGTATTCGAGGAATATATTTAAAGAATTTTGCAATTCTCCCATTGGCTGAACTAACCCATTTAGTAAATGGGAGAAATCTCCCAAAATTAAAATGGTGCGAAAACCTCCCAAAGTTAAAATGGGAGAAATCTCCCATGATGGCTAACTTGGAGAAATACCCCATTAGAGCGTGATGGGAGAATAACATTATGGGGGAATTCATCATTATCTTTTTTTTGTTTTACTTATTTGATCGGAAGTTTAACAGTAAAAGTTTTTCTACATGTTAATATTCGGTTCCGACCTTTTTAAAATGAAATAGGTCCGGTCCAATTAGTTATTTATTTACTCAATTAATTAATTATTAATTTATTTATTAGTTGATTAATCAATTCTAAATAAATAAATAAATTCATTCATTCATTCAATTAATTATAAATATATAAATAAATAGAAAAATAAATGATTAAATTGACATATTGATAAATCAATATATTAATAAACTAATAAATTAATACACTTATTAATTAATTAAATAAAGAAATCAATAAATAAATTAATTAATAAATTAATAGATTGATAAATTGATGAATTAATAAATAAATACATTATTTTTTAAATTAATTGATTAAATAAATAAATTTATTAATTGGTTTATGAATTAATGTTACAAATGTGCAATTAGTCTAATATTGAATTAAAATATATCTGAAATATTATGATTTCGCTTGGATTATTACATTAAGTTTCATAAACATTAATAGCGACTGTTTTTTTTAATCATATAAATATATAAATGTATATTTCTTTCCATTAATTTATAGTATTTGTTCTGTGTAGTTAGTTATTATTTATAGTAGGATATAATTTTATGATTAGTATGATATTTTCGTGTTATTATAAATGTTTTACTAGTCTCTTATAATTCAATGATTGAATGGCCATGTACTTTTCTGTGTTTTATGTTTGCTTATGAATTTTATTTGTGTATGTGCATGAACGAGACTTAAATAAATAAATATCATTATACATTGTAGAAATACTCAAAAAATTGTTTTAACAGTATGACAGTAAATCTAATTAACTAATTCTAAATAAATAAATTCATTCATTCATTCATTCATTCATTCATTCATTCATTCATTCATTCATTCATTCATTCATTCATTCATTTATTTATTTATTCATTCATTCATTCATTCATTCATTCATTCATTCATTCATTCATTCATTCATTCAATCAATCAATTAATTATAAATATAAAAAATAAATAGAAAAATAAATAATTAAATAAAGAAATCAATAAATAAATTAATAGATTGATAAATTTATGAATTAATATATAAATATTTTTTTTGATAAATTGATTAAATAAATAAATTAATTAATTGTATGACAGTCAACTGTACATTAAATTCGGGCGGTGTGTGGTCAGCGCAGTTCTAATTAGCAATGAGATCAATTATCTTTTATTACCCTTTATGATGGGGCTTTTTCTTAACAGCAGAATTATAAGAGAGACACACACAAAAAAAAGAAGAAAAAAAGAAAAAAACACGGTTAAAAAGAATAATAAAAAAATTAAAAAGAAGAAAAAATGGATGTTGATCATTTGAAAATGAATAGTTCATATATAATAATGTAAGTTAACAAATAATATAATATATTATACATGTACGCCGTAAATTGCATAGTTTGTAACAGAAATAAGACCGTTTAGGATGTTTTTCGTCTGCTTCATTGATCACTTTTTTTCTTTGTTTACAATCCAGTTGAATAATTGAATGGCTATTTGTGCTAAAAACGGCGTATTTGAAAATCGTGTAGGCACGTTCATTTAGAGCACTTAAATAACAAAGGCATTTTTGTTTACATAAATATAACTTGAACAACACTTCAAATGAAACAAAACGGCATATATTTTGATGTATAAGCGAGGAAAAGAAATACAGATAAGTATAACTGACATAAAGGTTTACAAAGTAATATCCCACGTCATCAATTAGAATGGCAAAAGAAATTACCGATTATTTATTTATTTATTTATTTATTTATTTATTTATTTATTTATCTATTTATTTATTTAATTATTTATTAATTTATTTATTTATTTATTTACCTATTTATTTATTTATCAATTAGTTTATTTATTAATTCTAAATAAATAAATAAATAAATAAATAAAAAAAGAAAGAAATAAATTCATTCATTCATTCATTCATTCATTCATTCATTCATTCATTCATTCATTCATTCATTCATTCATTCATTCATTCATTCATTCATTCATTCATTCATTCATTCATTCAATTAATTATAAATATATCAATAGATAGAAAATAAATAATTGAATTAATATATTGATAAATCAATAAATTGATAATCTAATCAATTGATTAACTTATAAATTAATTAAATAAATAAATTTATAAATCAATTAATAAATACATAAAACAATAAGTTAATAAATTGATTAAATAAATAAAGTAATTAATTAATTTATAAATTAATAATTTTATTCATTCATTAAAGTAACCAATGTCCAATTAGTCTGATATTGATTTAGAATAGATCTGAAATATTATGATTTCGATTGGATGATTACCGTAAGTTTCATTAACAGTATGACAGTCACCTGTACATTAAATTTGGGCGGGGTGTGGTCAGTGCAGTTCTAATTACCAATGAAAACAAAGGAATTATCTTTTGGATAATAACTTGATTGGATAGCAACAAAAATGACTGCCAGGTCTGATTGCCCCCCTAAAAGAATGTTGACACCACTTGAACGTGTGAAAAACATAACCATCGAAGGTCATAAATTACGTATAATATTACACATCCTTTGATTCCCAGAGATCAATTAAGTTTTATTACCATTCATGATGGGGCTTTTTCATAATAGCATAGACACACACACAAAACACACAGAAAAAACACGGTTTAAAGGAATGATAAAAAATAAAGAAATAAGAAAATGAGGATGTTTGTCATTTGAAAATGAATAGTTCATATATAATAATGTAAAATTACAAATTATATATACATGTACGCCGTAAATTGCATAGTTTGTAACAGAAATAAGACCGTTTAGGATGTTTTTTGTCCGTTGCATTGATCTCTTTCTTTCTTTGTTTACAATCCAGTTGAATGAATGAATGGTTATTTGTGCTAAAAACGGCGTATTTGAAAATTGTGTAGGCACGTTCATTAAGAGCACTTAAATATATCAAAAGCATTTTTGTTTGGATATGTATAACTTGTACAACACGCCAAATGAAACAAAACAGCATATATTTTGATGTATTAGCGAGGAAAAGAAATACAGATAAGTATTACTGACGTGAAGGTTAAAAAAATTAGGTAGGGATTTTCCTACGTCATCAATTAAATGGCGGCAGATATTGCCGATTATTTATTTATTTATTTATTTATTTATTTATTTATTTATTTATTTATTTATTTATTTATTTATTTATTTATCAATAAGTTAATTAATTAATTCTATATGAATGAACGAACGAACGAACGAACGAATAAGTAAATAAATAAAAAAATCAAAAAAATCATTCATTTAATTATAAATATATAAATAGACAGATAATAAATAATTAAATGAATAAATTAATAACTCAATGAATAAATAAACTAATAAATAATTAGTAAATGAATAATTCAATTCAATTCAATATTTTATTTGGCATTAAACTACATATAGCATATAGCCATTATTACATAATATAGGTAAAGTGTAAGACATTTTACAATAAATTGTTCATAAAACAGTACAAAATGTTTTCAGAGAAGTTATTTACAATATACCTTCATGAGATTTAGCAATTAACAATATGAGATATATACTTAACATTGAAATAAATTGTTATTGTTATCTATATGTATATATATATATATATATATATATATATATATATATATATATGTATACAAATACAGTCATACAATATGTTTTCAGATATGTTATTTACGGTATGTCTTTATTTAGATCTAACAATATAAAAGTTAATCAGAATTTCTTATTTTAAGTGAAAAATATAAATATCTTGACAAATTATTAAGTTCTTTTTCATTTTTAGATGACATTAAAGTTTCAATTTTTTATTAAATAAATAAATTAATAAATAAATCAAAAATTTAGTCAATTGATAAATTAATAAATTAATAAATTTATTTAAAGGAGAGGACTACTATGAACTATTGTAGCT